TTACCATTGCCATTAGGAGCCAACCTTTGTGAACCAACAGAGCGAGGATTTTCAAACTGACGAATCAAATAAATGGGCAATAATTTTTAAACCTGCCAATTATTCGGATTTATTAATAATACAAGTCGATCAACATCTGGTAGTGAGGAAGATTCAAAATTGGTAGATTCAGTAAAATAAATCGATCTGGTGAATATTTTTCCTTGAAAGAAGTGATTGAGGGTGGTGCCCGTGGCTCAAAGGAGTAGGGCACCCGCCCCATATGCTGGAGATGGCGGGTTCAAACCCAGCCCCGGCCAAAAACTGAAAAAAAAAAAAAAAAAAGTGATTGACAACTTTGGAAAGGTAATTTTACAGTATTTCAGGATTACAGAGAGAATGAGTCCTAATTCCAGATAAGCAACTGTGGGCCCCCTAAGGCAGCTGATTACCTTCATTACAGCTCATTAGAAGGAAAAAACTAATGAAATTTGATCTTCTTTAGGTGTTTCATGAACCAGCAGCTAAAGCTTATCAGTTCTTCCATAAATATAGTTGTAACATTCTGAGTGTTGGACTGGGAAGGGAAGGAGGCTGTATCTTGGGTTTTATCAGTTACTATCTGTCTACAATAGTGTTTAATTGAGATTTATCTTGTGAAATAAGGAAGACACTATTGTTACTCCCTTGTCACTTGTTTCCGGAAGGAACTGAATTCTAAGGCATTTAGGCTTTTTAAAGCCCAGTTTGCAAATTCATATCATGTTTCAGATCACCATGCCGTTCCAGGTCAAGAGCAGCTTGCTATGCAAAGATCAGTTTTACAGTTTTGCCTAGCTTCATCCCACCTGTACTTCACTCCTACATCCTTTAGTACAAACTGCATTACTTTGATGTTGAAGGCTGCATTTAGACAGGCAGGCAGCTTTACTCCCACCCTGAGTTGGAACAGATAATGGATTCTGCAGAGCAGGTGTCCAATTGGCCAAGGTCATCTCACAATGAGTCAGTATAAATATCCAAATTGCAGTTGTGGACAAACTCAGCACATGACAGGTGCAGCTGATAAGTATCCTTTTGTCTAGCTGTCACAGTGGTCTGAGGATACAGAACAAATCAAATGAAAAAGCCTGCGCCTGCCTTAGGAGGTTACGTCTTCACTAATCCAGTAGCAAGCAGCAAGCTGGCATTACTTTGTACGAAATCTCTACTGGTATATTTGCAAGATTTTGTTTCTCAGGAGCTATTTGTTTAGGGGAAAAAACGGAAAGTGGAAAGATGAAGTCAGTTTTCTCCTGACATTTCTAAAGATGACTACTTGTGAAGCAGGCCATCTCTCCTTAGAAATGGCCAATCCGAAGAACCCAGAAAGTCCTTCAGAGTTGCAAGTAGAAAATGGCAACTTGAAGGAAAACACGAGAAAAGGAGAAGACTCAGCTCCTGGGAAAGAACAAGAACTATAACCAATATTTTAGAAATTCATGGTTCTTGGCATTGCAATTAAGTTTCAATTTCAGACAATGCCTGAATTTCAAAATCAAAGGCATTAAAGATGTGTGAGGTGTGAATGTTTAGTCACAGAAAATGGATTTAAGTTTCTAAGATTTTAAAAACAACAGTTGATGAGATGAAAGAAGTTTAGAAAAACCCTTGAAGATATACAACCAAGGTACATAGATTAAAGTGCTAGTTTATAGCACTTTTTAAAATTTCATAGATGAAAAGGCTAATGTAAGGTGAAATATTTTGCTCAGTGTACTTAAGTTACTTTATTTATATTTCAAAGTAGGGGGAGTTAGCAAACATCTTTGTAAACGGCCATATTGAGATAAAAATTAAAACCCTTTTAAAGACTTAGAACAGAGTGTACTTGAGAATATTGGTTTAGAGAGTTTTGTCCCTATTTCACAAAGGAGACGGGTCAAATTAAATAGATGACTTATTCAGTGTTATATCTTTAGAGTAGAAGAACCCAAACTCAAGGTCAGGTCTTTTGACTGCTAACCCAACTCTCTTGTTACTTTACCACACTATTTGTAGCCCTCTTGAGTATCAAAATAGGCCCCCAGAAAAGTCTTAGTCTAACAAGTTTGTCTCAGCTGTCTTCCCCCCAGGGTCAGGGCAGTGATAGCTGTGTGGGAATGCTTAGCCTCTGAGTTGAGAGTAGGGGCTATGGCCTTCTTCTCTCTCTAAAGGGATAGTTGGCCAACATACATATTTTTTGAGGACCTACTATGTTTCAGACATTGTTCTAGTTGCGGGGAGACAAAGTGACAGGTTCCTTGCCCTCCAGGGACTTTTATACTAGTAGAGGGAGTCGATCAACGAGGGTCAAATAACTAACTAAATAAATGATAGCAGGTGTTGGGAAGGAAATAAACTTGTGACTAGCTCTGGCATCTGAAGGTAGCGCCTGAGATAGGCTAGGCTTTTCAGCTAGGCTGGTTGATGGGTTCATTAAGCAGGAAGAATGCTAAAGCACCAATAAAGAAACCCATAATAGTAGCTTGAATATTGGGAATGGCAAATAATGAAATAGACAACGAGGTAAAATAGTCAATATTTATATTATGTGGGCCAAGTGACCTATCCAGTCTGGTCCAAGAAAAGTGGGATAAAAACTTCTGGATGGAGGGTTAGAGTGAGCTGCCCTAGAAGAGAGAGAATTATGGTAGTCTTAGTACAGTATCTCCTCCTAACCCTGAAGTTATCTCATTTTACCTTAAATAAAAAAAGGTTGATCCAGCCAATGCTTACCATGTCCCATTCTTTTAAACACTCTGTACAAATTAAATCATGCTTTAGGATTGCCTTACAGAGACTATTGAATATATTTTACTTATGAAGAAACTGAGGCACAGACAGCTCAAGTATCTTTCCTGTGATAGACTGCATAATGCTCCCCCCCCCACCAAGATGTCCATGTCTTAATCCTCAGAACCTGGGAAGTTATCTTACGGGATAAAAAGGGCCTTTGCAAATGTGATGAAGTTAAGGATTTTGAGATGGGGATATTATCCTGGATTATCTGGGTAGGCCCAATATAATCACAAAGTTCTTTAAAAGAGAGAAGCAGTTAGAAGCAGGGGTCAGAGTGAAGTGGCCAGAAGCCAAGAAATGTAGGCAGCTTCTAGAAGATAGAAAAGGTAAAAAGGGGCAGCACCTGTGGCTCAGTGAGTAGGGTGCCGGCCCCATATGCTGAGGGTGGCGGATTCAAACCCAGCCTGCGGCCAAACTGCAACAACAACAAAAATAGCCAGTTGTTGTGGCGGGCACCTGTAGTCCCAGCTACTTGGGAGGCTGAGGTAAGAGAATCACCTAAGCCCAGGAGTTGGAGGTTGCTGTGAGCTGTGTGACACCACAGCACTCTACTGAGGGAGATAAAGTGAGACTCTGTCTCTACAAAAAAAAAAAATGAAAAGGTAAAAAATAGATTTCCCTCAGAGCTTCCAGAAGGGATGGCACCTTGATTTTAGTGCAACGAACCTAATTTCAGACATCTGGCCTCCAAAACTATTATCATAATAAATTTCTGCTGTTTGTACTATCTTAGCCACTACTTTCCCAGCAGCAATAGGAAACAAATACATTGTCCTGGTGGCAGATCCAGGATTAAAACTGAGGCAGGCTAGTACCAGTGCTAGAGATTTAACCACTGTGCTATAGGGCCTCTCATAGGCAGAACAAAATTTCAGCTTGAATTTTGAAAGCACAATTGGGGTCTCCTAGGTTTTCCTCTCGTGCTCAGAATTCCAGGTCTTGGAAAATGTACAATACAGGAAGGAAAGAAAGAAAGTAGGGACGGAGGAAGGAATGGAGGAAGGGAGAGAGGAAGGGAAGGAAGGGAGGGAGGGAGAGAAAAAGGGCAAAGAGCGGCGCCTGTGGCTCCAAGGAGTAGGGTGCTGGCCCCATATGCCAGAGGTGGCGGGTTCAAACACAGCCCCGACCAAAAACTACAAAAAAACAAAACAAAACAAAACAAAGAAAGGGCCAAGAGAATCCTATATCAGCTGGTGTGTATCAGTCCCCTTCCTTTGCTCCACATATTTAGTCCTGGACCCAGCATACCATTAACATAAACCTCCTATTATAGAGATGAGAAATTCAAAGACCAAAGAATTGTGATTTTTAGGTTACTGGGCTGCTTGGTGAAACAACCAGCTAGTTACACAAAGGGCAGGTGGTGGTGTGGGGAGACTCACTTATCTCTTTGTGCCTGCGTAGAACTTGAGGGAGGTGGCTGTGGGACAAACGAAGTCCAAAGGCTTTTTGTCACTTGCATTTTTTCGTTACTCCTTCAGGAAGAGTGGGAGAAGAAATGCTAATTACAAACTTACGAGAATGCGATGTTCTCACTGTGACAATTTCTTAGCCCGTCGTGATTATTACATTCCCGAGTTTTTGCCACTTTTACATCCTGGTCGCTGCCCCCAGCTTTCTAACACGGCATCTAGGACACGGGAGGTTGATGGAATTCAGCTGAACGCTTATGAGAGGCTACTCACACAAGTGCTTTTCAAACATTAAATTGCATGCATGGTCTTGAAAATGAGACGTCGCTATCCATATGCAGAATCTAAGTCACACAAGACGTGAATTATAAATTAGCATTTAATGAAAGTTTACAAAGACAACACAGAAACAGATTTTTCGCCTTTTAGGCACTCCTGCCCTCCCAATAAAGGGAACAAATTAGATGCTAGAGTTCAGTGCAAAGAGGAGAAAAAGCTTCTCAACCCGGCTCCAGGAGCTCTGCTCCTGTCCTCCAGGGGCAGGGGAAGCAAGGAAGTTTCCAGGAACTCGCATACTTTCGTTCCTCTAAGATTTCCAGCTTTTAAGGAGCAGGGGCCCCACCGAACTACCCAGGCAGGTCCAGGGCTCACACACCAGAGCGCAGCGCCGCGCCCCCTACCGCGCCGGTGTCCAGGAGGAGGCGGCAGACGCGCCTGCGTGTGCGCTAGGTATAAATAGGTCCCAGGCGGCGGCCACTGGCCAGACCCGGGCTGCGGGCGCTGTGGGCCATGGCGCGCGAGGGCCACCAGTGGCAGGGCAGTATCCTCTATAACATGCTCATGAGCGCGAAGCAAATGCAAGAGGCCCCTCAGGCGGCCGAGGGGCGGCCCGGGGGTCCGTGCTGGGGCTGCTCTTGTGGTATTGAGACCGGGGAAGGCAGAGAGGGGCTGTCGGGCGGCAGTGCCATGACGCTCCTGTACCGCTGCTGCTTGTGCGGTGAAGAACACCCGCGGCGGGGCAGCATCCTCTACAACATGCTCACGAGCTCCAAGCAAAAGTATGCGGCTCCGAAGACGCCGGAGGCGCGGCCGGGGGGTCAGTGCTGGGGCTGCTCGTGCGGCAGCGCTGAGCCGGTGGTGGGCAGAGAGGGGCTGCCCGACGGGCGTGCCGTGGCGCTCCTGTACCGCTGCTGCTTTTGCGGTGAAGACCACCCGCGGCAAGGCAGCATCCTCTACAGCTTGCTTACGAGTGCAAAGCAAGCGCACGTGGCTCCAGAAGCGCCCAAGGGCCAGCAGGCGCCCGCGTGGTTTGAAGGCGCCTACGGCCCGGAGAGGCTGCGGGCCCGAGAGGGGCTCCCCGGCGGACGTGCCGTGGAGCTTCAGAACCGCTGCTGCCTTTGCGGTGAAGACCACACGCCTCAGAGCGGCATCCTCTACAGCATGCCGACGAGCGCAAATCAAACGCGCGCGGCTCCGGAATCGCAGCCGAGGGCCCCCTGGTGGGACGCCTCGAGTGGTGCGCGGCGCCCGGTGGCTCTCAAGAGTCCACAGGTGGTCTGCGAGGCAGCTGCGGGAGGCCTGTTGAAGACGCTGCGCTTCGTCAAATACTTGCCTTGTTTCCAAGTGCTGCCCTTGGACCAGCAGCTGGTGTTGGTGCGCAGCTGCTGGGCGTCCCTGCTCCTGCTGGAGCTGGCCCAGGATCGGCTGCAGTTCGAGACCGTGGAGACGGCCGAGCCCAGCGTGCTGCGGGCGATCCTCACCACCAGGCGGCAGGAGATGGCGAGCAACAGGCCACGGTCCCTGCCCCAGCTGCGGTCACAGTTGGCATCCTCGCCGGACACCGGACGGTTGCCCTCTGCTGCTGAGGTCCAAGTCATCAAGGGCTTCCTCGCTAAGTGCTGGAGTCTGAATATCAGTAGCAAAGAGTATGCCTACCTCAAGGGGACCGTGCTTTTTAACCCGGGTAAGGCGCTGGGCTTGGGCACAGGCTTTTCCTAGCAAAAAAAAAAAAAATTAGGCAGTGCCTACTCCGGGACGCAGGCACTAAGGAGTTACCGGTGGTCAGAGGGGTGTCGGGGAATAGATGGAGAATCGCTACTAACTCAGCAGAGTTGCAGTGGGAGGCTTCGGGAACCACTTCTGGGTGGGCTGCTAGTAACTCAGCAGGGGGCGGGGGTTGGTGAGGTTTATGTTTGGCTGTCTATACATTTCTCCTACTAAAGAAAAGTTTGTACTTTCATAGGACGTGGTTCTTCCTTCTTTAGTTTTCTTTTAAACCCAGTAACGTAGCTTTTCTAAAAAAAAAAAAAAAAAAAAGTTCTTACTCACTGCAAATTCTGCAACTTCTGCAACTTTGTTCTGAAATTTACTAAACCTTTTTTTGTTGTTGTTGTTTTGTTTGGAGGTAATCTATTAAAGCTGGCGAGAAGGGAAACGTTTGTTAAGGACCCCAAGAGAGACCATTCTCAGAAGACACTGTCAGGACACTGGACTTGGTGTGTCACTAGTCTACCTCTGAAAGGTCATTCACATGCTTCTAAGCATTTGGCCTGTCTCAGCCTCCAAGTGTCTATGAATATCAGGTTGGCAAAAGGGAAGGGAAAAAGACACAGGGACTGAGAATAGGTGCATTGCATTTTAGAACTTGAAGAGAGGCTAGAAACCTCATAATCCATAGCAGTAGATCTGCGACTGTTCCTCACCCCATTGTACAGAATAGGTAGATGCCTCCCGAGTGACCTTACTCCAAACTAAACAGCTGGTGTGTGGTGGCACCTGGGAACTTTGTCTTCTGGGGCCAATAAGCTGTCTGCTGCACCACACTTTCAGGTTTCCTGTTGGATGTTGGACACGCTGCTTTACAGAGTGCAAACAAATTATGGGAGAATATCTTCTTGGACAGCTCGGTACCTTGTCTCCGGGATGTCCTACTGCTAGAATCATCTCAATCAGCGTCCTTCCAAAATGGCCACTAAGGGGAGGGAGGTTTGGGGGCAGCTTGAGTTGGGATAGTTTTTATAGTGCTCCATTTATATCCTTTTTCCCTGGTGCAAGGAGTCTCTGGTTATTATGTCTTTACCCCCTGCCTAACGTTTTTTTAAATTATATAGATCAGTATTTGGTGGGTAATAATTTATTCAGATCTCACATTTCATGACCTAGAGACTCAGTTCATCCCAGTGACTATTATTGGACACCTTTGTTTATACCATGGTTTTCCTGTGAATAAGTCTGTGAATAAGTCTTTCCCATTCCTAATGATTCTGATTCAGTATAGCTCTGGCCCAGGGTCTGCAAATCTGCCTTCAAAATAAGTGTCCCAAGTAATTCTTAAGGTAATTTGGAAAACAGTTTTCTCATACTTTTGGCCAGTGTTATTAATGATCTACTATTTGCTTTCTTCAAGGTGAGAGGGGCTCAGCTTCTGGAAGTTTACATCCCAATAGTTTTTGGGCTTTTCCTTGATCGTCTTTTGCATACTTTTGTCACCCCCTATTCTTATTCTGCCTTTCCTAATCCTCTCTCAATGTGAGTTTAATGAGCTAAGCTGAGTGTGCTTGAAACACAAAAGCAAATGCACCTACAGTTGAGAGAAAAGTGTATGTATGTTTAAATCTGTATATATATTGTGTTTTATATATATATGGATTTAATCAAAGAACAGGAGATATATAAAACTGTGGAGTCCATTTGCCTTTTTTCTCTTTGCTGTTTTTAGTTCAAAGACATGTCCTTTTTTGGGACAAAGCCACTTTGGGGGGAGGGGAGCGATGTGGAAAGCAAAGAAAAGTAATGTGGCGTTTACAAGCCACGAGACCTATAGAAGCTTCAGATTTCTTTTGGAGTTTCACATAATCCTCTTCCTACTTTCATTAATGGAATTCAAGCACAACAAAATTGGGTCTCAAGTCTGGATATTGAACTGCACGTCTCTCTCTCTCTCTCTCTTTTTTTTTTTTTGCAGTTTTTGGCCAGGGCTGAGTTTGAACCTGCCACCACCTCCAGCATATGGGGCCAGCGCCCTACTCCTTTGAGCCACAGGCACCGCCCCTGAACTGCAGGTCTTTAGGGATGTTAGTGTGTGGACTAGGGTATTCAGAATTTTGAATATGGATTCAAAATGTTGCTATCTATCAGATTTGATATTTGCCTATCAGGAGTCACTTATGCCCATTGCCATTATTATTTAGAATATTTTTTCTGTTGAATTTTGTAGAAAAAGGGAGGAAAATGACTGTATTACATCATTAACATCCTTTAAACCAAATGGTAAACTGCTAATTACTTGGATACACGTTAAAACGGTGTTTTTCAACCTTTTTTTTTTTTTTTTTTTTTTTTTTATCTCACAGCACACTTGAACCTATAGTTAAACTTCCGGGGCACACTTAAATTATGTTGATCATAAAAAGGAGCACACAGAATATAAACATACTGTGCTTTGAATGTCTTTCAAAAGTAATTAATCTTTAAAAATTTGCATGACACACCTAAGATCCTCTCAGGGCACAATGGTTGAAAATCACCATGATAAAGAATTTAGCAACAATATTACTATCATGGAGGATCCAAGGACTCATAATAGCAGCTTCCTCTTAACCACCTTCTTCATAAAACTTAGACTGCACTTAATCTTTCCTGCGTTATATTTCATACACTTAGGTATCACAAGGTACTGCGAAAGGTCTTATATTTTCTATTAGAAAAGTTACTTTTGCACCACCCATGTTTCTATCTGTGATGTTTTCATCTTTACCTTTTAACTTTTTTTTTTTTTTTTTTTGCAGTTTTTGGCCCAGGGCTGGGTTTGAACTGGCCACCTCCAGCATAAGGGGCCAGCGCCCTACTCCTTTGAGCCACAGGCGCCACCCACCTTTTAACCTTTTAATGACTGTAAGAGAACGTTTTCAAAAACTTCTTACTTTGATATTTTTTAAAAGAGCCTTTTGAGATACTCATTAAAATCACTCTCTTCTTTTTAATATTTTCACAATACAGAAATCATGGTACAATGAGCTAAGTGGCCAGCTATAGCTTTCAAATTATTATCGGCCTCTAGACTAATATTGACTTGCATGAAAGTAAGTAAAGTGAAACCTGTGAGTCATAGCTCTGTGGCTGTAAAGTTTTCTGTCATTGGCCAGTCAGTGTAACAGTGGGAAATTTGAGGAAGACTGGTGTAGTATTTGTCATCTGGCAAAACGTCTTGTTTCCAGTAGAACTGTTTTCTGTAAATAAAAAGGTAAAGTGCTCACTTATTGGAAATTTCTTCATATCTGCATAGAAAATGAACAGACGTGATGATTCATTAAACTATATTCTTTTTTATTTTATTTTTTTTTTTTTTGAGACAGAGCCTCAAGCCATTCCCCTGGGTAGAGTGCCATGGCATCACAGCTCACAGCAACCTCCAACTCCTGGGCTCAAGCGAGTCTCCTGCCTCAGCCTCCCAAGTAGCTGGGACCACAGGCGCCCGCCACAACGCCCGGCTATTTTTTGGTTGCAGCCATCATTGTTGTTTGGTGGCCCGGGCTGGATTTGAACCCACCACCTTAGGTGCATGTGGCTGGCGCCTTAGCCACTTGAGCCACAGACGCCGAGCCAACTATATTCTAATGTCAAATGAAGTGTACATTTGTTGATTCATAACCAGTGTTTCTAAACGGGTGTATAGAAACATAGAATTACACAGAATATTACCCAGAATAATTACATGATGTTTCATTCTTATATGTGTTCCTTTTAAAAACTTAGAACTGGTTTGGCATTTTATCCTTGCTTTACAAAACCCTTTTTACCAGGAAGCTTGAGATCTTGTTTAATTGGGAAGAGACTGAAATGGATAGATTTTAAAAGATAGCAAAGAACTCTGTGGTGAGCTGTTTATAACAAAGAGATTGTTCTCTCTACAGATATACCAGGCCTGCAGTGTGTGAAGTACATTCAGGGACTTCAGTGGGGAACTCAGCAGATCCTCGGTGAGCATGTCAGGATGACACACAGAGATTACCAAGCCAGATTCGCTGAACTAAACAGTGCCCTCTTCCTGCTGAGATTCATCAATGCCAATGTCATCGCTGAGCTGTTCTTCAGACCCATCATTGGCACAGTCAGTATGGATGATATGATGCTGGAAATGCTCTGTGCAAAGTCATGAAGGCATGTGCCGCATGAGCACAGTTCACCGGGAAAGAAAAATAAAAAGCTCTGGGTAGAAGAGTGTAAAGTAGTATAAAATAAACTTTCTTATTATTTTTACATGATAGTATTTTTGTATTTAATTAAATACCTTCCTTCCAGACAATTAAAAAGTCCTCTGTCTCATACGGTTTCATTGGGAAGGGAAACATTTGTCAAGAGATAACATACCTCTACATCTGCAAGGAAAGAGCAGGGTATAAACTAAGCTATTTTCACAAATTTAAGGACATTCTCCATGGAACCTGTTCAAATCAGATTTGTGATATAATCAATTTGAAGATGTTAACTATTGGGGTGGCACCTGTGGCTCAAGGAGTAGGGTGCCAGCCCCATATACCAGAGGTGGTGGGTTCAAACCCGGCCCTGGCCAAAAACTGCAATAACAACAACAACAAAAAAGCAATAAAGGTATCTAAAAAAAAAAAAAAAAGATGTTAACTATTAATTTTAAAAAGTTTCATCAGGGTTTAAGTGAGGCTTCAAAAATTATTAAAACCTAGCCAACACAGGTAAAAGTATCTTTATAGTTAATGTCATGACATTTAATGTTATAATATGCTGGTGTCAGTGGAAGATGACTTTGTTCTACTTTCATTTCCACTCCTATCAGCTGCATGAAAGACTGTCTTTGTATTCCATCATAAGATGCAATCTGTGATCATAAAGACACCTAGGCTCAGCACCTGTGGCTCAAGTGGCTAAGGGGCCAGCCACATACACCTAAGGTGACGGGTTCGAATCCAGCCTGGGCCCGCCAAACAACAATGACAGCTGCAACCAAAAAACAGATGAGCATCATGGTGGGTGCCTGTAGTCCCAGCTACATGGGAGGCTGAGACAGGAGACTCACTTGAGCCCAGGAGTTGGAGGTTGCTGTGAGCTGTGATGTCATAGTACTCTACCCAGGGGGATAGCTTGAGGCTCTGTCTCAAAAAAAAGACAGGTGAAAGTGAAATAGATTTTCAGAGTTTTGTTTTGGAATTTTTCTGTACACAGTTAGGGACTTAAAATTCCCTGAGAAACTTAACATTATAAAAGGAAGGATTATAGAATTCTAGAAAGTTCAACACCATTACAAGCCCTAATTATACCTCATCTTTTAGATATATTGTCTTGTAACGGTCACATTGAACAACCATTGCATAAAATCATAAAGCAAGTTTATTGTTGGCTCCTGCTACATAGGTTTTTGATCCATAAAAGCTAGGTTTTCCTTGCCCCCAGATGAAATTTAGGGTACTACATGTCTATTAATTATGGTTCATAAATTGCCTGTTAGCAGTTAAGATATCTAGTCCAAGGTAATAACCCATTGCGGAGAGTCTTAACTTTCTTTTGTGCAGACCCCTTTGGCAGTCTGAATCCTATGGACATCTCAGAATCTCAGAATCAGGTTCTCAGTAACGTAGCAACTAAAATCCTTAAGATTACAGAGGAATTCAATTATGTCAAAGTGAAATATTGAAAAAATATTTAAAATACTTTAATATGTTTATCAACACATTAAACTATGGCAGGTTATAGATAGTCATTAATGTGACCTCATATTCACCTTAATTTCATTTTTATTTTTATTTATTTTTTTATTTTTTGCAGTTTTTGGCTGGGGTTGGGTTTGAACCTGCCACCTCCAGCATATGGGGTGGCACCCTACTCCTTTGAGCCACAGGTGCCACCTCCATTCACCTTCATTTCAAAGCAGTGATAAATGTTATTAAAATTTCAAAATATCTGCAGCATCTATAAAGTGATAAGAAAACATCTAAGTTTTTTTTTTGCAGTTTTTGGCCAGGCCAGGTTTGAATCTACCACCTCTAGGTATATGGGGCCAGTGCCCTACTCCTTTGAGCCACAGGCACCACCCAACATCTAAGGTTTTTATTGGTGCCTGGTGGGGGGACCCCAAGATTATGGCCCAAGTTGGAGATTTGCCAGGTCTCATGCGACTCAGTATATAGTTGTGTTCAGGGCTAAGATTTCTTGTAGTGACGTAGTAAGGATATATGGCCAGATCATAAAGAAAAAAGCACAGATGGAGTCTAGAAGAATCTGCAAGCCTCCTATTCCTCCCATGACTAGTCTGAAGTGGTGAACTCCTCCCCCAGAGATAAGGACTCAGCAACATGTGTGTGATACTTGTGCTCAGGAAAACCCTTTGCCATTCAGAGTTTAGGGTTTTTATTGAGGCTGCTCAGATAGGTACTATTTACTTAGCATGTCCCCAAATTCCAAACTCACAGAGAGCAGGTGGTCAATGTGAACCACATTGTTTGCACAGTCTAGGCATAGTGAGTCACCCTTATGAGTTAGGAAAGGGTGAAATTCCACAAGAGACTTGCAAAATCAAAGTTCCCACATGTCAGCCAAGGGCCACCTTTGAAATCTGGTTATTCTAAAGACAGCTGTTTTGGGCTTACTATGTTTATTCTCTTATGCACAATCCACTCCTTGGACCCTTGGCCAAGATGTCCCTACAGAAGAATTAGCAGTAGGCCCCTGCACAGCAAAGTGAGACCAATCTGTAGGATTGATCTCAGTTATGTCCGTTAGGGATCCCAGACTTAGCCAGTTAAAATAAATCTCATTAACCATAAAGATCTACCTGAGGCAGTCAGGTGACTTTCTCTGTCAATTCCTGTACGAACCATTTTACCTGGCCCAAGACATCAACTCAGTCCCAGCACAGCTCTGGCCAGTAATTGAAGCTGACCCAAATGCCATCCAGGGCCGAGGCAGTGTCATGATAGTCACAGCACACACACACACACACACACACACACACACACACGAAGTACAATCCCCAAGGGCTCATGTGGTACCCTGGAAACAAAGAGATGACCATGTTAGGGCACCCAAGCAGAATGTATTGGTCAGGCAGCCCCCAATGTGGCCTCCCACATGGTGCTTCCCAGCCCAGGGTGCTCAATCCAGTGCAAGTATTCAGTTCAATCCCTGGTTTCAAGGGGGCTGGCTGAGGCCCTCAGTCCCCAATAGTTTTGTCAGTGACACTAGTTCATCTGCCTGGCAAGTGGACGGAATGTAGAGATGTTCTGTAGGAATGATATAGGAGCTGTCCCACCCCTGCCAGCTTACAGTCATGCTGTCACACGCCATTTAGGCCCAGCAGCCAGTCTGAGCTCAAAGTGCTTGCAGCCACTAGCAAAAGCAGCACAAAAGTTTTCTTCAGAAAGAGAGGGAAGCTTCCAGAAGCAGTTTCAAAATACGAAAATTATTAATTCCCTACACCCTCCCCTGTCCCTCCCCAGATATCATTTTTTTTTTTCTTTTTTGGCCCGGGCCAGGCTTGAACCCGCCACCCCCGAATATGGGGCCGGCGCCCTATTCCTTGAGCCACAGGCGCTGCCCATGTTTTTTTTTTGTTTGTTTCTTGGTTATTAGAAGTGTGTCCCATCCAATAATCCTAAATTTACATTTTTTCCTAATCATTTCTTTTTTCACCCAGACCTTTTGTCTGGAAGGATCGTGTGTAAAAGAGGCACAATCATTTTCTTTCTTTCTTCTTCTTCTTATTTTTTTATTTTTTGAGACAGAGTCTCACTTTGTTACCCTCGGTAGAGTGCTCTGATGTCATAGCTCACAGCAACCTCAAACTCTTGGGCTCAAGCAATCCTCTTGCCTCAGTTTCCTGAGTAGGTCGGACTACAGGTGCCTAGTACACGCCCGGCTATTTTTAGAGCCAGAGGTCTCCATCTGGCTCAGGCTGGTTTCATCAAACCTGTGAGCTCAGGCACTCCACCTTCTTTGGCCTCCCAGAGTGTTAGGATTACAGGTATGAGCCACTGCGCCCAGCCCAAAAGCATTTTCATAGATTAGCATTTTTTTTTTTTTTGAGACACAGCCTCAAGCTGTCCCCCCGGGTAGAGTGCCGAGGCATCACAGCTCACAGGAACCTCCAACTCCTGGGCTCAAGCGAGTCTCCTGCCTCTGCCTCCCAAGTAGCTGGGACCACAGGCTCATGCCACAATGCCTGGCTATTTTTGTTGTTGTTGTTGTTGTAGTCATCATTGTTGTTTGGGGGGCCCAGGTTGGATTCGAACCTGCCACCTTAGGTGTATGTGGCTGGCGCCTTAGCCACTTGAGCCACAGGCGCCGAGCCCGTAGATTAGCATTTTAATACAACTTAACTAGGAAGACACATCCTGTTCAGGAACTGGTCAGGGCAAAAATCCTGATGTTTTCAGTATTTTCTCAAAAGAGGTTTACAGACTGCTTCCCCACACCTTTTGTCTTGATCATTTATCCTGTGAACAAGCTAGAAAAGATCAATCTCTTTCTGGGGACAACTGCATTGAATATCAAACTGCTTTACTGAGGCGCATGCAGCAGGAGGAAGGCAAAAGAAGTAGGGTCAGACTATCAGCCCATTGTTGCAAACTGCAACTAATATCGAAAGCATAACACAAGTCAACAGCAGCGAGACATCCTTGAGAGTCCAATCTATCAGGGGTGAGCAGAGGGGTCACACTCCCTGTGGTGTGCCCTGCCCCCAATTACAGCTTTCCACAGGAATCACAAGTTAGGAATGCAATTAGGCTCTTGGATCAGAAATAGAGATTCAGTCAGCAGCTCCTTTTCAAATGGTCCCATTAGAGAATAAGCCCTTTCCTTAGGGCATCTTCGGGTGACCCAGATGGTCTTGCCAGCATCCATAATGTTTCATGGCTTCAGATTCCCCAGAGTCTTAAATTTGTGGCAGTCCAGAGATTGAGTTCTGTTCATTCAGCCCATGCCTGCCTTCAGTCCAGCACAGCTTAGTGGTGAGCTGAAACAGCCCATAGTTGGTATCAGGTATCAGGTTTCAGCTTACAGTCAGGTTCAGGAAATTAGGATCAGTGGATTCAGTATTTAAAAAAAAAAAAAAATCCAGCGGCTTGTCTTCTTCAGCAGCAAAGCTGACTGAGATGCTGTCAGGCCAGACACCTGTGTTTCAAGTCC